CAGGACTCACGGATTTCTCTGGAACAACTTCAGACTCGCTGGTGCCCCTCTGCTCACCTTCTCCCCGCTCTGGGTTTGGAGCACCTCCAGCTTCCCTTCTTGGCGCAGCTGCAAGGAAAAAAAGAGGATCGAGGAGAATAAATGAAAGGAAGGCTCGGCGCCGCCGCGTGTGCGCCAGGCAGCCCGCCTGCACGCTGCCAGGGGAAAGGCGGCCCGGCAGAGGCCCGGAGGGCTCTCCCGTCATCGCGAACCCTTTGGTGCTCTGCAAAAGGAATCTATTAACGAGCGGGGCTCATCGCGGGACCGCGTTTCTAAGGCGATCAGCGGATCTCGCCCCACAAAACCACAAAGACGCGGGTGGAGGGAGACAGGGACGATCCCAAAGAGCAACCGACCCTTTTAAAGCAAAATCTCCGCTCCTCCTTTTTAAGATCTTCTGATTTCAAAGTGCGGACAGGCTAAAAACGCCCCGGCCAGGCTGGGAGAATCCCCTGCGTGCCGACTCACCTTCTTCTCCTCCTCAAACATCTTTTTGTTCTCTGGCGACGCATAGACAGCCAGCCCCTGGGGCAGGAGCTTGTTACGACCCACGGATTTCTTCACTCTGACCACGTCTCCCCGGCTCCCCAAATCTGCGAGGAGAGGGGCGAGAGGGGAGCCGACATCAGCGAGGCGCGTGCTGGAGAAGCGCCAGCCCCGCAGCCCCCACGGCAGCTTTGAGGTTCCATCAGAAGGAGGTTTTAAAAAAAAAAAAGCAGCAAAATAACACAAAACTATCGGTTTCAGGGCTCCGCAACCCTAAATCGTCCCCCAGCCTGAGGGGTGAATCCCTGCTGCCACCGGATCATCGGAAACGGGACTAACGGGGGGATCCTGCCTCTCCCCTACGTGGGCGAGGGCAAAACGGGACAGGAACCGAATCGAGTCTTGCGACCGGGGCCCGGCCCTGCTGCAGGAAGAGCAAACGCCGGTGAAAAGGAACGTACTCTCCACCGACTGGGTGAGGATCAGCTCCAAATCCTTCTTGGGCAGGTGCTTGGTGTCGTCCAGCACCCTGTAGGCGCGCGGACCC